CCAGTCATAAAATTTAGAGGTTGCTCTGAGAATAAAACTATCCAACCTTTTCTCTTGGAGACTTTTTCTCCCCTCACTGAATTAATTTCAAATGGTATTCTCGGGGTGTTTAAGAAACGTCCTGTAAAAGGTAAATATTATATCTGAATGCATCGTCCAGGCGCAGAAGAGTGTCACGCTACGCCGCCCTTTGAGCGTACACTGCTTTGCTTTCCACATCTCGCAGTGACACATGGAGTGACCTTCACAGATAAACGCACTTGCACACACGCACGCATGCACTGACACACACACACACACACACACACACACACACACACACACACACACACACACACACACACACACACACACACACACACACACACACACACACACACACACACACGTCTCCAGACTGTAGAGGGCACACTCACCGAAAACCCCCCAAAACAAAACATTCACATGTCATGCATTCACATTTCGTTCTTTAAAAAAAAACTCACTTTCACAAATTTTTCTGCAAAAAATGCATTCCATCGACTGCGGCAGATCCTTCTCTTCCGGTTAATGTGTTCATGTTAATAATTGTATTGCACAGCTTCCAAGACTGCAATTAGTATGTCTTTAATATTTTTATCTTTACAATGAATGGCAGTAATAATTATTGGCCTGTGAAAAACATCTACAAGAAATCATATCCACTTTAAACGCCATAAAAAGAAGTACGGCTTTTCCTCTTAGCGGTTTACTGAAGTAGTTCTGAACATTTCTTTCATGTGGTTTACTGCACTTGTTCCTCTGGATTCATTAAGGGATCCGTGTAATTAGGTCAGAATACTTGTTGATGGAGCTTTTCTTAAAGAAGTACTTCTGTCACCAATAAGGGGAAAGATAGTTTTTATATTCCTTTCAGTAGAAATTATCCTACATTAACCGTAGATATCCTTCCTACAGACTCAATTTACGTAAAATTGTTTCTAAAGTCTAATTAAGTCCTAATTACAAGCCGTAAAACCAGTGAGGTTTGCTAACAGTTATGCTAGTGACCAAGCTACATTCTATTAGCAATTCAAGCTAACAAAATCTGCCCAAAATTCTGATTTCCAAGAATAAACGATACACAAGAGCTCAGCTTGTCGTAGAGACAGACACCATAGAGAAAATTTGTGCTGTCATTGTTCCCTCATTAATATAGTTTGTTTTGCTGATTTTAGCTAACTAGTTGCTAACAAATTGTCTTGAAAGTTGGATTTTCGGCAAGGGAATTGGGAACTATTTGAGGTATGTTAGCTAACTCGCTATCTTGGCTATAATCGAGCTTAATTTCTATTTTACCTCTTCACATTCTTCATAATTAATAATGGCCTTAGGTGTATATGAACATATTACTTAATCTCACAAAATTATGTCATTTTAACAGATGAAAGTCTCAACGGCCAGTGTGTCGGATGGATCGTTTATTCCTCAGTAAGAATACAACAAAGTACAAATTCTCAGCGTTTCATTTCCTGGCACATGCCAGTCAATGTGTGATCTATTTCAGTCTTATTTGTCAGATATTTATACCTGAGAGATTTATAGCGCTTGAGGGATGGATTCGCGTCTTTTGTTCTCCTGAGGTTGCTGGGTAAACTTTGGGCAGGAATGTGAGGAAACTAAAGTGGACACTCAAGGCATGTGGGCCAGTGAATTGAAGCAGTGATCGGGGCATAATTTTATGTGATGGCTGCAATGCAAAGAGTTGTGGAAGGGATGAAGGGATACCGCGAGACACTACAAGGCAGGAATGAAGATTATGACAACATAGCAGAGAACCCTCTTTATAACTGGGGCTGCACTGAGTGAGTCCAACACAAACAAATTGCAAGCCAGAGGAGGATCTGTGTAATAACTTGGAAGCTTCATGGTTGTCTTTAGATTTCCAACAATTAGCAAAACCTTTAGGACACAAGAAATAGGTTAGCAAGGTATAGCATAGAAGACCAGGCAGACTTATCAGGTACAAAGCTAGGTACAAAGAGGAGTTTCTAGAAAGACTGGTAATGGCTGTCTATCTAAACTGAAAGGCTGGAAAAAAAAGAATATGTCAGAGAAACAGTGCAAGAGGGATGTGGCAACTCTGGAGGAGCTACAGAGATCTGTGCTCTACAAATCTGATCTGATCAGTGCTATTGTTTCACTTTTTGTCTGTAGACTCTGGTTTCTCGTGGCAGACATCTGTTCAGTCTGAGTCAGGCTTAGGTTCTGCTAAAAGTTTCTTCTTGTTAAAGGGGAGTTTTTCATCTCCACTGTCACCACATGCATGCCAAGTATGAGGTATTGCTGGAGTGAATGCTGCAATCAATACGATTCAGTCCTCTGGGTTTCCTTCGACGGAGCACATTTTTATCAAATGAGTAATGAACTAAACTTGACTGCATTGTTTGATAATTGACTTTTTTATTAAAGCGCCTTGAGAATTAGCCTCGTATAAATAAACTGAAATAAATTGGTTTAAATGAACCAAGTCTTGCAAGAATATGTTGCAAGACTTGAAAACCGATGCTCACTGACAGTTGCTATCAGTGTGTGAGCTGTTTTGCAGAAAAGTATGGGCAAAAATACCGAGTCTGAAAATAGCCCAGGAAAATCCCGGAAGACCTAGAAGTTCCAGGATTTGAAAAATGAATTTTCATATTCATTTTACTACTGTTTCGGTGTATCTGGAAGTTCTGTTTTTGGAAAGGGGGGGGAGAATCAGGGTGCACTGAGTTTTTGCAGCTCTCTGGCAACTCTCATCAGCAACACTTTGGCTGTTAATTCATGTCGTTTTTCCCAATATATTAATTCCCTGTATGGAAGACAGTGAAATGTTACCAACACACAGGATTTCCTCCTCTTTCGACAATCACACGACACCATGTGGTCAATTTCTGTAGGTCAGAGAAAAAAAATGCTGGCCAGCCTTATGCAATAAAAAGAAATAACACACCTACAGCCTTCCAGGAGTCAACATGGGATGATTGGAAAGTTGGCTTCCCTGTTTTCCTGCAGCTAGAGGGTGACAAATGCTGAAGCTTATTATTCAGTGCCATCTTACCTTAAAATGTTGCTTTTTTTTTTTTTTTTAACAAAAAACGTGTTCAGACATTTGAAAGTAGAAAAATAGGTTAGAAAAGCTGAATCTGCCTTAACATCAATGGACGGAATAAAACCTGAAAAGAGAATAACTGCTTAGTAAAAGACGGCCCTTAAAATCCCCGTGGGTGCACTTTGATGGAACATTATAGCGTAATGGTTTTCTTCCTCTCTTTTTCTTTTACCTCAGGGTTAAGAGCGCTTTTAACATTCAAAATGCATGAGGGGAGAAAAAAAAATTCAAGAAAAAGACAGAGACAGCAGAATGGCTTTTGCAGACGCGTTTGCACGCCTACTACTTACAGTGTTTCTGTGCTCGCTGGGAACCTCGGGAGAATATCGATGTCACTGCAGCAGGTCGTGTGAGCTCTCCACTCGGAGCAGTTGCCCCTGACCGGGCAGGAGTAGGGCTGCAGCTCGGCGCCGCTGACGGGCAGAGCGGCGAGGGCCAGCAGCGCGCACGTTAGCACCTGCGTGCCGTGGCGCAGCCGGCTGGGAGAGGAGCCCATGTCAGAGCAGGTCCCCCGCCTCCCAAATGTCCGCGACAACATAATTAATTTGTTGTTGTTGTTGTTTGTTTTCACCTGCTGGAAGTTGCGCGATTTCCTTTTTGTTGTTGTTTTTGTCGGTTGGTGTATTCAGTCCCAAGCGCTCGTCGTGTCTTGCAGGGGCCCCCAGACTGGAGGAGCTGAGAAGGCTTGGGTTTGTTTTTTGGGTTTTTTTTGGGGGGGAAGAGGGATGCTGCACCTCTGTGGTGGGTTTTAGGAGGTGGTCTCCGACTTCAGGAGAGGGTGGACTTACAAAAGTTAAGAGTTAGAATGCACCCGTCCAGGTTTCCCCTCCTTCGGTGTAGCGTTGTCGGCAAAAAAAAAAAAAAAAAAAAAAAAAGCCTTCGTATTTGTTGCTTAGTGTGGCCGCAGGGCCGGATATAAAAGGACAAGGGACACTTGGATAGAGCCGGTTATGGTACCCTAACCAAAAACAAACAACAAACAAACATTTTACTTTTATAATTGTGATAAATATAATTATTTAAATAGAACTTAATACTGATAAAAAATGATTTGAGAAAGTGTTTCTTCAGCCAGATTGTGTTACGTTGCATTTTTTTTTATAGTATTGCTTTTATTTTAGTCCTTACCAAACTGTGCATGTAACTATATTATAGATTGAATTTAAAGGATTCTTGACTCAATGCCATGACATCCAAATGCATATCACAAATTTCAGACTTGGGAAAATGGAAGATATGGAGATATCATACACTTTCCATGCCACAAAAACATATAATAGTTGTGTTTGTCTATCTCATGACATTCTTTTAAAAACACATCCCACAATCGGGATCACGTCTGTACAAATGATAGAAAAGGTAAAAGGGAAAGTCTACAAGATAGTAGACTTCCTCTGACATATGATGGAGACAAAAGGGGTAAAAAAAAAACCAAACAACAACAAAAAAACAAGCAAACAAAAAAACCCAAAGAGAAAAATATTAAATGCTTGCATCATGTGACCAGAGTGAACAGAACAGTCTATATTTTTACCTGAGTGTAATTGGCCCTCCCACCTTCACTGAGGGTATATTCTTCAACATTTTTCTTTTGTAGGTTTGTTTTGATAATATCATATCTATTATTATTATTATTGTTGTTGTTGTTATTATTATTATTATTTCTATTATTATCGGATTTCGCTACATAAATGATACAAATCCCATATATTAATATATTTATGTACATGTTACTATTATTACTACTTAATTTATCATTTGATCATTTGTGTAATTATTTGTTATGTATTTTCAGTAGTTGTAGGCGTTCTTTTCTTGTTTTCTTTCTAAAGAGCGGCAGCACCGGCGCAAATTCACCGTTTTGGACAATGTAGTCCAGCTGTGACACATTCTTACGCAGTTCTAACGCCAAGAGCCTACACTTCCCAGCGTTCCTCGGGGATGCTTCGCTCCGTTGTTTTCCCAAGCTCAGACGCGGCTAGTTCAAGTTGCCATAGCAGAATGAAGCAAGGAGACTCTTCTGTTACTTATCAGTGCTGAGCAAAACTCGACCGGCGCCGTCTTTACAGTACATTTCTAGCGTTATTAATTTACCTCATTAGTTTTTATCTAGTCGTTTTGACGTTTCATCCGGGGGTTTATTTAATTTGTTGGGGAACGTTTGGTTAGCTAGGCGGCTAACGTTCCCTGTGGTTTCCACTTGTTGCTAACCAATCGGAGCATCCTTCGCTACAATGAGCTGGACTGCGGCTTACGGGCTCGAGCGCAGTTCCAGCCATCTTCACTTAGTCGGATAGAGCCGAACCTAAGCTTGAACCTAAAATGACAAAGCGTCAGCGTAGTTTTCCGACGTCATGTTTATGTTCAGTAAAAAAAAAAAAGTTCTCCACTATCCCGCCGCGCAAACTAACGTTAGAGCGAACAGTTAGCGTTTCTAGTTGTGGCCGCTGCTCGTCGCTTTGATATGCCTCAAGCCATGGACACGTCCAGCGAGTCAGAGTCGTACGGAAGGAAGGTGCGGGGACACAGGCCGCGGGAGCGTGAGACTCACCGCAGGTCCGGACGGGACAGACGACATGTCAGCGGGGGCAGAGACGACGGGCCGGCCGCGGAGATCTCCGACAAAATCAGTACCCTCGCCGACACCTTGCAGGTGTGGTGACAGACGGTGCATACGTGTGTTTGCGTAGATTTATAACTGTTCCAACAGCCTGCGGACAAAGTGATCTGAATATTTAATCTCATAGTCAACATCTCTTAAATTTGCACTTTGGACAAACTTTGATCTGCTTATGTTTCAGGACACAAGTAGGAACCTGACCAAAGTTGACAAAATGTTGGGTCAATACAGGGATCACGCAGATGATCAAGCTGAAGCCATAACATTGGTGAGACATGCTTTTATTTATTATATATGTATTTAAAAGTCTTAATAAAGATGCTGACTTGGCTATCTTTTCCATGCTCTCTGGCCACTATGTCAGGCACCTGTTCAGCTTTGTGACAAGGTTATGTTCTTTTTATAAGGCTTGGCAACAGATATGTGGCCTAGAAATAAAATATTGATTATTCTTCTTGCTTTCTTTTCTAAAAAAAAAAAAGAAACTACAAATAACAGGAGATAATTTCAAAAAGTGGCATTTATTTTTTATCGTCATTTTGTGACTTTAATGATGGAGAATTAGAGCCTGGCTGCAAAAATGTTTTGTTTAATTACAAGAATATAGTCATATTTAACGGGATGGTTTCACCAGAAGAACATCTTAAAATTATGGAGGAAAAAAACCCAACCAAACAAAAAAAAAAAAAGCAGTCTTTTTAAAACTACTACTTCATTCTTCTAATATTATGACTTTGTTCTGGTAATATCAAGACTTTTTTCATATTATTTTGACTTTATTGTCATGTGACTTTATTCTTGTTTTACTACCACTATGTTCTTGTAACATTATGGCTTTATTTTCAAACGTTTTTCCATCCAAACCAATACAGATGAATTGAAAAAAGACTTTCAGTTTGTTATTATATGATATACCATTTATTATTGTTATTAATTACATCTTTTTCTACATTCTCCAACAGGGATGAATCAGACTAATATACAACAAAATGTAATGTTCTGAATCTGAAATGTCTCTCACACACACACACACACACACACACACACACACACACACACACACACACACACACACACACACACACACACACACTATCCACCTGAAGGTCCAGTAACAAAACACAAATTTAACAAAAAAACCCACCCAATTTCAATAAAGTTGTTTTATGTATAAAGTATAAGATAACCTTTATTTGAGTAACATTGAGCCATTAGGAATAATAAATATTTATCATATTATGAAACAATCCAAGTAAATGTTAAGATAAATGACTGCTTCATGCTCAAAGTGAATGCTTAAACACAATAGACAGAGAAAAATATTTTAAAAAAAGAAATCTCCAAAAATGTTCTCTCTAAATTTATTTGCATTTCGCGAATAGAAATAATTTGGTGATTCTAACTAACAGAAACAAGAAAAGTTTGGTCTGATTTTAACTTCAGACAGTGAGAAAATAACGTGTCTATGTCTCTTTGTTTGCTGTATGAAAATTTCTAGTTTAATGATGCTTCCCAAATTAAGGTTTTTAATCAAATGTTAGATTGCAGTTTATTACGACGCGCTGCACTTTGACATTCAAGCACTTTCATGGACTCTAAACAAAAATCAAGGACTTTCCAAACCTTGAGAACACCTAATTGAAATTCAAGCCTTTTCAAGTATTTCAAGCACCCACAAAAAAAAAAAAACCTTAAGAAGAAAAAGATAAACAATGTTTAAAGTATACTAGGTTGAGGCATTGGGTTTTAGGAAAACATGAAGTTGGATAAAAATATTTTTGGAAAATGTGATGATGATATGGCGTGATATGGGCCAACATCATTGTCTCTGAGCTTTAACATGAGACTCAATTAAATTCTAGATCCGTATAAGTTATTGCTGAGCAGATCCACTTCAAAAGCAGCAAGCAAGCTAATTGTATGAATAGACATTTTGGTGGAACTGTGTGAGTTGATTAGTGTCTTGTTATTTAAAGATGCTGAAATATATGATTGTCATAATGAAGAACTGGAATGCTTCTCAGAACAAAAGAAGGATTGCGAGATGTGTAAAAAAAAAAAAAAAGATTTTTAGTGTTGAAGATTTGTGAGAAATGTGAAGAAATGAAACCCGCATCGCTGTGAGAGCCAAATGGATCGTAGCCCACCACGACTCCGTGCAGTTATCTCCTTATTTAGTCTACCCTCATCATTCATTTCAAGCCCTCGCTCTTTTGTATCACGCTGTCCCGTTCTCATCTGCACTTATTTCATTTAGGATGCATGTTCTGCCAGTTTTATTTAATCACTTTCTGTTTTTTGCCGCTCGCTCGCCTTGCTAAAGTGATTTCTGTCTTTGTGATTTGTCAGTAATGCGTATTATCTTTTTTTTCTTCATTTCACCCCCCCCTTGTCTATCAGCTCAGGGAGAGCTTAGAGGATTCAATCAATCAGCTGCAGACACGGAGGCTGAGCGGGACCGACAGGGTCCGCAGTTCCTCCGTCTCTTCCCTCCACAACAGTGACCTTGAGGCCTATTCAGGGTCAGGTATGGTAAACAACTGATGCTTTTCTTGTTTGTTTGTTAATCTATTTTTTTCATATATAAAATTAGGCCCTCGTTATTCATGTAAAACGATTAATCAGTTGCAGAATTCCTTTGTCATTGTGCACGAAAGCACAATGAAATTTACAAAATAGCAGTAAAAATACATTAATTATTTAGTTTTTAGATAAATATTAAAAATAATACAGTAGAAATGCACAGAAACAAGCGAGATGTTAAGAAAATGATGACCAGAGTTTGATGAATAAGCGTTGTTCATGGCATCAACACCTCCTGAGTAGGAGCTGGTTTTTAGTCTGTCCTAACCCTTGATTAATCGATTAATGAAAATCAATAAATTGTGTTTACTTAATTCTTGAAATTAACTGTGATTAATCGATCATTTAAATTATCAATTAACAGTGTTTAATCAATTATTGCAATAATCAATTAATCGTGATTAATTGTTCCGAAATTATCAATCCGAATCAATTGATTAGCAAAATGATCAATTGATTCTTGAAACAATGAATCGATTACCAAACTTATCAATTAATTGTGATTAATCAATCAGTCATTTCCATTTGGCTGTCAAAATGATTGATTACTAAGGTAGTGGCTAGTGTCACCTTTACATGTTTACAGTAACTTAAGGCACAGTTGTGTTTCCAGAGGAGAAGCGCTTCCTCCCCACCTCCCCGCTCAAGGATTATAGCGGCAGCCCCAAAGGCAGGAGGAGGTCTCAGTCTGCTGGTGTTCGCTTCAGGGATTCCATCCGGCCCCCTGACGATGTAAGCAACACTCCCAGCACGATTATTACCTCTTTGCAGTTCCATAATCCTGCCACAAGAGGGCACACTGAGTCAGCCACATCAGGCATTGTGTTCTGCCGGCTTTGAGACAGAATCTTATGTTTTTTATTTTTGTTTTTTTTTCTTCTTTTTAGATTAGTAAAATGTGTGAAGAATTCAGATTGTGGTGTGTTGAAGTCAGCCTCTGACGGTTTGAATTGAGTCTGGATGTGTGTGTGTGGGTTTTTCTCACAGATTCATTCGGTGCACCAGACCCTGCGGGACCTGTACTCCGACCAGCAGAGGCTGTCTGATGACCTGGATAGAGAAATCCTCCGGAGGAACAGGTATCTGCTGCTTTTAACGCCGCTCTATTCAACACTGCAGTTAAACAGGGTTTTTTTTTCTTGAAATGCTTTTAATCAATTAACATAATTCAGTAATTAGTGGAAGAGGAAAAGTGTCCGATTTGAAAAGCTTGTAGTACAAGGAGAAATGCTTTCATAACCTGATTGGCCTGAAGCCTGTAGTGGATGCTCATTGTACCAGGCCCTCTTCACTTACTGCTGCTGCATATTAACTAGACTGAGGCAGATCTGCCTCTGTTACAGTGAAACTCTGAATTAATGCTCTGTTCCCTTCAAAGGGAGAGTTGGAGGGTCTGAGTCTGGCTTTGTTAATCCTAATCTACAGAGTTCCAGATCAATCTGGAAGAGCCTTTAGTTTAGGTGATTTTTCCAGGCCTGGAGGAGTTTGGAAAAATGAATTCAAGAATGAAAAAAGTCTTACATTTCCAGATTTTGTTCCCTATCCTTGGGTTAAAGTATCCTTTCTCCCTTCTGTCCTTCCTTCCTTTCTTTTCATCTCTGTAACTTTTTCCTATCTTCCTTGCGGCCTCTGTCCTTTCTTCCTTCTGTCCTTTGCTTTTCTGAAATATCAGATTTTCAAAGTACAGCTTGGACTCAGTATTTCCAAAGTTACAATTTTTAAAAGTGTCATGCATCCACACTCTGGACATTTAGCTTATATTTATACAGTGGGTTTGAGTCTAACTGCCTTTAGTTCCCACTTTGATGCAAGTTTTTAGTGACCAAGTTCGTGTAGAGTCACAGCAACAAATCGTAACCATACCGAATGAAAAGTGTCATGAAAACTGTGGATTCATCATAGTTGATGTCTTCATATATTAGTCATCAACAGTTTTAAATGTCTTGTCTTTTGATTTTGTAGCTAAAGTCTGGTTCTCGTGTAAACCCATATTTGTCATGTTCACTATTATTAAGGTTTCACGTTAATCTTCCACTAAATCTTTGATTCCAACGTATTCAAACCACCTTAATGAAAACAACCAAATGTCGATGGAAATCAGAGGAGACGCAGCAGAGTCGGGTGACCGCAGATCATCCCCTAGCATAGATTAGAGTTTGACATTTTGAAGTTATTAAAAAAAAAAAAAAAAAAAAAACCCTCTCTCCTCCCTCCCGCTGCTGACCAGAACAAATTGATCCCCCGTCATATTTCAACATCCGAAGCCGAGTAATTATTTTCCCGCCGCTTCAGATTATGCCTTCACATCCCGATCGATCATGTCGCAAAATAATCTTTTCCAAGGAGTTTCTCTCGCTTCAATTTGTCCATTTTCTCTTTTTCGCAGGTCGGACATTGACACCAGGCGGGCGATGGAGAACCTGTCGGATCACGTTTCCCACAGGCGGGACTCGGTGAGTCGCAGGTGGAAGACGGTATTCACACATGGAAACTGAGGCAGTCAACAGATTTAATGCTGTTTTCTGTCGAAGTGGGAAAAGCTGATGGAGTGAATAATTAGTTCACTCTAATTTCCAAGCACATCGTTGTCGTCGTCATCAGCGTTCTGGCAAACACGCCAAATGACAGCCAGTATGTGTAATATTTGTTATCTGGTCCTGTCTGCGGACGTGACGAGATAAAGGTATTAGCTGTCCTTTACAGGACGACGTCCTGCTTCCTGATTAACATGGGGGATGTCGTAGGAGGGGGGGAGGGGCATGTATCACTTCCAACCAGGCACAGTAGAGTTTTTTTCTTCTTCACTCCCACACATTCATTTCACGTCGTCTCATTAATCGAGCTGCCGCGGCGCCGGCAACGTTCGTGTGACCCGAGACGTCTTCGCTCTTCTCCTGCAGGTGTCATCCCGCGTGGAGCGACGTCTGCAGGAGCTGGAGAGAGAGATGAATGCTGAGAGAGGGAGGAGGGCGGAGTGGCGGGCGTCCGGGGACGACGACCAGCAGGAGGTGAACCTCCCCACCCCTCTTTTTATCTGATTTGCTGCCGTCCCTCCATCACAGTTTCCAAAGACCTTGTAAAGAGAAACCCAACATCACAGCCTGATAGATTTCAAAAGGCGTGGGGAGAGGCTCAACTTCCTGCAGGACGGTGACACTATAGCTGCATAATATATTAGATCACATGCGTTAAACTCAAGGCCCGGGGGCCAAATATGGTCCGCAGTAGCTTTTTATGTGGCCCTCCAGACTCCGAATTACATCAATAAGTCCCTCTAGTTCTTCACAAATCCATAAAATTCACTCAAAATCAACAGATCTCCACATTTTGTTTTCTGATTTTACTGCAAATTTTTCTCAAAATTGGTCAAAAACATTGGGTTTAAGTGACTGCTGCCTCAACATTACTTGATGTCAAGTTGTATTCTGATTGACACGGCGATTAGAAAAAAAAAGTCACATTTAACATCATACAGTAGCACAAATATCAAATTTTCCCTCATCTAAAACATACCTGGAGTGTTGCCTTGATTTTTTTCATGCACGCTTGAGAAATCCTTGAATCTCCCATGGAAACCATTAGCACTACAAAATGCTAATGGTTTAGCCTCCTTTTAGCTGCAGAGGAGGCGCTACTCTCTTTACGCTCAAACTCAGCTCCTTCAGACTAGCTAGTAGCAATTAGCAAGCGCCTGGTGGAACTACAACAGTTTTAAAAAGCGGATTATAAAATCTCTATAAACAAAAGCTTCCTTCAAGAATTGTTCATCATTAAACTGAGACGGGGACAACAGGCAAAAAAACTGTCCGTTTGAAGAACTCAACCAGCATTTTTCCTCCTAAAGGGACTCATAAAGAAAGTGAAATAAAGGAATTAGTCCAAAATATTTGGGGTTAATCACAATCGGTTGCCATAAGTATGGTCTTGGGGAGCTAAGTGTATGTGCAAGTTTCCAGATTCCCTTCTACTAAACAATTCCACCCTACTTTGTGTAACTGTGTTGCATAAATCCCACCAAAATAATTTGACGTTTATTGTTGTGACACGACAAAAAACAACAACGCCAGACTTCCTGTTTGCGTCCACATGCAGTTAAATCAGTTCAGTTCGCTAAATATTTCAACTCAGCCGAGACGATTGAAGATTCCAGCGCCGAGAGACGGAGATTATCCTTCACTGGCACCGTCTGGTGGACGGACTTTGATGCTAATTTTCCCCTCTCAAGTCTCTGGTGAGTCACTCCCTTCTACAGATGTAGAAATTCTGCTGATAAAAGAATGTCAGCAGCACTTCACTTTGCATAGTAAAGAGCTTACCACAGCAGAGTGATTTTTAAAAAATGTTTTTTTTTTACACATTGCTGGTATTTATACAGTTTAATGAGGCTCAATTTTCCAAGAAGGCGCCAGCCATCAGAGCTGCCGTCTCTGGGAAGGAAAGCAGCAGTATAATTGCGTTTCTAAATGACAGCTGAATTATTTTTGTGATCTCTCCTGAGAAATTCTTCCTCACTCAAACGAAGTCGCAGAAGATTTCCTCCACCATATTAATAAAGTGGTGTGATTAGAAACGAGAACCAGTGAATTGGTGAATTGAGTGCTTTTTAATGCTTTTTCTTTTTTAATCCTGTCAGGATGCCTTTTCCGTCCACAGCTGTTCTTTACATCCCAAACCAATTATCTTGCACATTTAATTTTGTACTTTAACTAGACCACTCTTTTTATATTCCAGCCTTTTAAAAAATTTATACATATATAGTTTTCTTTTCTGAAATTATTGTTCCAGCCACTTTAATTTTTTTCTTTTTATACATTATTGTTTTCTTTTCCAACCATTTTAAGAAACATAAATTTTTTTATTTACTGTATTTCATTATTTGTATATTTCAGTCATATTTTTATTTTTACATTTTAGTTTAAAATTTTTATATTTCAACTATTTTAAAAATGTATGTATCTTTAGTTTTTATTTAATTTTTTTGTTTATTTCAGTTTCTTATTATTTTTATACTTCAGCCATTAAAGACATTTATTTTTATTTATTTAAATTTTTCTTTATATTAACATTTGAATATTTCATCCATTTTTTTAGTCTTTTCTTTTTCTTAATTTAGTTTTTCTTTTTTTATTACTTCAACCATTCAATAAAGAGGCCATTGATTTTTCACATCGGGTTATGTTTGAATAACTGTTTTCCATCATCATGTAAAACTGAAAGTTTTCTTCATATTGAAACTATTTTCAGAGTATGAAAATGTCAAGTGTGACAAAAAATGCCGAGCTGGACGAAGTTCATAATGGCACTTTATAACTGTTCTTAAGAAAAACACTTCAAATTTAGTCTCATGGTTGCATGTTGCCATGGTTACAACATTAACTTTAGTACAGCACACATATTGTTGAAGTTATCACACACATAATAATATAATAAACTGGCTGTATTCAACAGTTTCCCACTTCAGGGCCTAGAAAGGCCACTGAGAGCAAAATGGATCTCAACTAATGCGTGTTAAATCAATTCCAATTATCATTATATGATGGAATCGACTCATAAGGGCCTTCATAATCTGACTCCCTCTTTTCCTCCCCACCCTTAGGAGCACAATTGTGACATTTTGCAGCACTTTCGAACAAAGAGAGAGGGAGGGAGAGTGCGGCAATTGGGTCGCCTTTAAACTGATTGGCGCTATCCACTTAGCTACCGAAATGATTCACGCCGCTCATGCTCATGTTTGCTAATTTTTTTAAATACCCCAAGCACTTTTGTCTCTTGACTTTGTCTCCTCCTTCCCGCGTTCTCCCAGTTGAACCACAGAGGGGCGCTGTGTAGTCATACGCCATCCCACAAAACCTTCTTCCGAGCTTTTCTCCCGATTCATTTGCATTCCTCTACAGAACATTTCCCTAATGGGACACCCGCGGCGCCCCAGGGTGGCCGGGCATAGTGCATTTGTCCCAAAAAAAAGAAAAAAGAAAAGAAAAATCCAGGGTAAATAAACAACCGAGAAGAAATGAAGAGGAAAATAATCTCTTATGCCTCTAAAGGAGTAGGAGAAGGAGAGCAGAGGGCGCATCTCTTTCACACCGATGGGCCCGCTGTGATGTGAATCAAACAGATGATGAGTCACTCGGGTGGTTGTTATTGCGAGCAGGCGGTAATTCATCACCGCGGCCCGCAATGGGTGCTTTGGATTGAGTGGGATCTAAGCTCTTGTTACATATCCGCCATAATGCCTCTACGCTGTTCCAAGAAAATTAAAGTGAGGAGGTTTGTTGGGAGGGTTGAGGGGAAGAGAATCAACAGTGTAGCAACAGCACTTTCTGTGTCACATTCTTACATATTTTATTGTTTTTGTTTTGTTACGTTTTTGTAGAATTTCGGGGGGTGCCAAGTTCGACCCGATGACAGGGAAAACGCCTTGACGGCGAGACTTGTACGAGCAGAGAGGGAGAAGTCCAAGGTAAAAACCAGAGTTTTCACCTCAAGATGATGCAAAAGTATTCAAAATACTTCTTAAATATTTCCACAGCTAGTCTTTTCATAGCTGGAGCTTTTGGTGAATCTTATTCTTTGAATTACATGTGAAGCAAAACACAAAATAGCTAGTAGGCCCCGTTACAATAAATTTTCCTGCCCAATAAATTGTCCCAGTCATTATGGACATAAACTTTAATTTCTAACAAACATTTGTTTTATTTCTGTTATTTCTATCACTTGAGGTTAAAACAAACTTTTGTTTACCAACTTTTGATAATCTCTTTCTAGCTTTAAACATAACATAATGTAGCCTTTTTATAGTAACAAAGTCCCTTAATTTCAAGACATTTAATTAAATAAACAATTCATTAGTCAAGTTTATTTGTAAAGCACATAATAAAATAAACATATTCTATCAAATCCCTTCATCAAGTACATACAAGTGAAAAATATTGAATGATATTCCAGTTATTAATCAAAGGCGACTCTAAACGGGTGGAGTTTTAGCCCCGGTGTAACTCGGTGCTTATAAAATATCTTTTCGTTTTGAGCGGCATGAATAGTCTTAGGAAGCGTTTTGGGTTTGCCGCCGTCTCTTAGTCCAGATTGTTGCTGTTATCTTCCTAGATGGAGCAGGAGCTGGGCAGAGCCAGGAGGTTACTGGAGCAGTCGGAGGACAGCAAGGAGTCCCTCGTTCAGCAGGTGTGTGTCAGTGTCTGATTAACGGGGGAAGAAGGCAAATCGTCACAAAACAAAGCAAGCCGTGAAATGTCTCCCCTCCGCAACCCGGCATCCAGGTAGAAAACATGCGTGGCGAGCTGCTGAGGACAAAGACGGAGAAGACGGCGGTCCACCGGCCGCAAACGGAGATGTCTCAGCTCGGCGTCCAGCTGTGTTCCAGCACCTCCGAGCGAGAAGGAGGAAGAGGTCAGCTACACGGGTCGGGTAGCTGGGTTGTCAGGGGAGCAGAAGGCAGAGGAAATGATTGCTTTAACGACTCGCCCTGCTGGGTCCGTGATTTTTGAAAGCAACACCTGTTTCCTCCTGTCTTACGACTTCATTTTCATATTTGTCTCCTTGAAATGACACTTAGATCATTGCTCAGTGTGATCAAACAACTTCTTCAAATGTCTTTTTTTTTATTGACTATTAGAAATACATTGATAGGTATGATGCAAAATCACATGATCAAATTTAAACAGATTTGAACCCATGATCAAATCCACAGACATTAAACACTCACACACACACACAAAACTAAATGTAAAATAAAAAATACATTTGCACAAAGTAGAAAAAAAACACAACAAATGAAGTTTAGATAAACCTATAACAGTAAAATGTGTTATCCACAAATATGTATGAAGAGTAAAATAATAATAAACATTTATAAATTACTTAAAAGTGAGTAGGGGGACCATTCAGAGTACATTTCTCATGAGGATGCCAAACTTTATAAAATCCATTTTCTGAACCTCGGACAGTAAAAGTCCACACACAACATAATAACCTTTATGCAGCGCGAATGGAAATGTAGAGCTGGATCTTTCAATGTGACCAAACTTCCAGCGAATTATTGCAAAACGTGACTAAAGGGACAAAAAAAAGCACAGAAGAAGAAAAAAGATTTTTCTTTTACTAAATCATCCCTTAACATGTTGATTCTGACAAAGATTTCAGCTGAAATCCACCTTGCTAACAGAATTAAAAGACCGTTTCCAAAGAAAAGGGACAAATTGTTGTTCAGAAAGTGTGCAAACATTACCACTTTGCACACTTCAGAGTGCTGGAAAAAGGTTTGCACAAGGTGGTAGCAGGTGAGAGGGAGAGCATATGTGGAAGGACAATGACAAGGCGACCTTCAAACCAGCCTCCTTGTGGCAGGAAGCAAAGCCACATCCGTCAACCAAAACTACAAGGACACACTGAAGTTCTGCTCGAAGTACACAAATAAAAAAAGTGAACATTCATTCTGATACCTGGAAGGTCATTTTTCTGCCCGCAAAAATGAAAAGAAAGAGAAAATCAAAATCTTTCATCAATCAGGTGATCAACTGCGTGCTTTCCAGCATGACAAAGCAAAGTATCACGAGACAAAAGTAAAATTCCCTAAGCCAACAAAGCACATAGAAAGATTTGACCCAGTGATTGATACCCGGCCTGTGAAAACGCTGAAATTACGAAGAAAGTTTCGATGCGATTTTTCCAACTCCCAACATAAATTTGAAGTATTTCATAAGAAAAAGGTTGGAAATATCTTAAAAAGGTTTTAGGTGTTTTTCAGGGGAACGAATACGTGTTGCAGCTTTTTGAATGTGTTCTCCTGAAGGAGAACCTTCAGCTAGCGTGCGTGTGTGTGTGTGCGTGTGCGCGCGTGTGGGTGTGTGTGTGTGTGTGTGTGTATCACACAGATTACAGTGAGCTGGAAAAAGAGGTGGCTGAGCTGCGGGCGCAGCTCCACCAGGCCTCGGTCCGGAGCGAGGTGGAGGAGATGAAGAGGGCCCTGGAGACGAAGGAGAGAGAGAATCTGAAACTCAGTTTACAGGTCAAGGTGCGTTTAGGAGGGGAAGGCGTCAACCATCTTTTTATTTCCTCTGGAGATACGGGAGCATGTGAGGTTCCTACGCAGTCTGGAATTTGACTTGAGTATTTTCCATAAGAATGGGCAAACTCTATTCCTGGTTTCATTGTCTACATCCTTCCTTCTTTCTTGTCCTTTTTTGTTTCGTCCTTATTTTCTAATTTTCCTTTCTTTGTTTGTTCCATCCTCTCTTCTTTCAGTTTTTCCTTCATTCCATTGTTCAGTCCTTCAGTTACTCCTTCCTTCTTTCCTTCCTTACTTCAATCCATCCTTGCCTCTTTACTTCTTTCTTCTTCACTTCTTTCCCTCCTTGAGCCTTCTGTCCTTCATTCAATCATTCATTCCTTTCCTTCTGTAGGTCCTTCCCTCCTTTCTTCATGCCATTTCCCTCCTTTTTTCCTTCTTTCCTTCCTGCAGTTTATTCTTCCTTCCTTCTTTTCATCCCCATTTTCTTCTTCCGTTCCTTCTCTCCTTTCATCTCATGTCCCTTTGTTCCCTGTGTCCTTCCCTTCTTTCTTTCATTCATTATTTTGTTCGATTCTTTACTTGCCTCCTTACTACTTTTCTGTTTTCCTTCCTTGTTTTCTTCTCTCCTTCCTTCTTGTCTTCCCTCCATCCTTTATTCTTACTTTTCTTCCTTTTGATAAAAATATGTAGGAACACAGTTAAAAAATAAACACAATTTTTAGCTGTAGTGTTAATGGGATTGAACTCTGGAATTGGTGACTGTCCAAGTAGAGGGTCAGATGTTATGACTTCTTCTGTATTATATCGCTTATAATTCAATAGAAGACAGATTGTATTACACACTTGACTGTAAAGATGAAATCCCAACATTTCGTGTTGAGACTCCAGATTGAGTCTGGTTGCAGCGATGCCAACAATTGGCTACGTTTTCAAGCTTTTCGGCACCATCGTCTGAGCTCATTGAAATTGTATCTAAACTCCCACACCCAGCCCGTAACAGATCAGGTGTGAAGCCATGTGGTGGGTCTCTGCATGCGTCACCTGGGGCTCTTCTCATGGATTTTACACTTGGATCAAATAGACAAAGAGAAACCTTTCCTTTTGGAGGTAAGCGAGCAAAAATGAAGCATAATGAGCCGGATGGATTTATATGTAGAAGACTAATCAGCGTTTGACTAATTACCCCTAACTAACATCCTTATTCAGCGGAAGCATCAAAATGGCAGCCATGTTGCTTTGCCTTGTCTTTATTCCGCTGCCAAACTCGAAACTTCAAAGTCGTCTTGAATTTCTCTGAGCCACTTTTCAGCGTTTAATCGTAAAACATCCAGATGTTGGAATGACTGAACCTTCTCTGACCTGTCTTTGACAGAAGATGAAGAGAAACGGTTGCTCAACGGAGCATGGATAGAGAAAGAAAGTTCCCAAAGTGTTTTTTTTATTATTATTATTATTGTCCAACCGAGGTTTCTCACTTGACCTTTCTTCTCTTCAACATGGAAGGAGTTTTCATCTGACAGGGAGGGGCGGGAAGAGCAGCATCTGCGAATTCTGGACCAGCTGAAAAGCATGCAGGTAATTTAAATTCAATCAAAGGCCTGTCACGTGTAAATGTGGTGTTGTACCTTTGTTCTGGGACAAAGCATTGTAAAAACGTGAGCTGTAAATCTTTTTTTTTTCCTTCCATTGCGGTTACGGGGTCTTGAGGAACGAACGTGGGCTTTATTGAGGAGTTGAATGGTCATTTCAGAACCGCAGGCAGACAGAGCGGAGGGAGATGGAGGCCTTGGTCCTGGAGAGCACGAGGAGCAAAAACGAGCTGAAGACCAGGGCCCAAGAAGCAGTGCGCCAGTGGAGGGCGAAGTGCAGGAGGCTGCAGAAGGAGCTGGAGGATGCTGAGACTCAAGGTCGACTCCATGAAGAGAAGGCCCTGCAGGTCGGTCCAGCCATCACTCACAAATTTCTCCACAGTTTCAGTCCAGCTTCAGTTGTGTGCTTTCAATATTTGGGGTTGAAAAAAAATAGTTCTTACTGTTTCACAACAACAAAACTGACTGACTGCTAGCTTTGTTACTCAGCATGTGTAATTTTACAATGTAAAGAGGGCTACAGCAGAGTGTGCTGTCTCTTATTTGCTGTTTAACTCGCATTCTGTTCTTTGCTGACTTCCTCACACTTCCTTTTAGGTAGGAACGTCAATAAGGTCTGAGAAACTAATTTGACTTTAGACAAACTTTCCCGTTAGACCCCTGTAGGTGAGACAAACCTTTTTCCACTCATTCACCAAAGTGAGACAGCCGAGTTCTGTTTCACCATGTACTTAAATTCAACAGAAGAGAGAAACAGCTGGTTGAATCCTGGAGTGTGTGACGGTGCCCGGTCAGATCAGCCAAAAGGCAGCAGATTGGGATGCTGTCCCACACTACAAAATGATCCAATTACCAAGACCGTCACTCCGCCAGATTTACTGAGCTGTGTGCTTCCAGCTGAAAAGGAAACAAAAAGGCAGGAAGATTCCTTTACCTACCTTCGAATACCGTCTGGCCAACAAAAACACGAGTTTGGAAAGCAGAAATAAATCACCAACGAGCTGGAAAAATACCGACTTTCATCCAAGAGAACAAGCAAGGCACACCATGCTGCTCAATATCTACAGGAAGTAGGAACCTTAGCTGGACTGAAGATACACAAGCAACAAGAGGCAGCAGATAAAAGCTAAGCTTAGTTATTCTTAAACAACCCATTTCAATGCACCATTTAGGTAAGCTAGTGGTGTGGCCATTGCTTTTCAAAATTTTAAAAAAGTAGTGATATGTTTATAATATATAAAATATTAGTAAATATTGGTTATCATCTGTAACAGCAGTATTGGTTTCGGATATCGATATTGGCCCAAATTTTTATATTGAAACAACCATTGGCTCATTTTCCAGATGTTATTGGTTTTTATTGGACTTGCACACAAACTCTTGATTGCAAAATTGACATAAACAAACACACAGATTAAAACTCTGCAGTCAGTCATCTTTTTATGTCTTTCACCCTTCATCTACTCTCGCTCAACCTCTCAATCTTGTTCCATATTTCACAGCATATTGACTAAATGGGTCGGCCCAATGATCATGTAGGTCTCTTGGCTTTCTTTGTTGCATCATTTTAGATAGAAACTGTGGCTGATGCACGACTTCTATAGTGTTGATGCGCTGAGACGTGAGGAGATCGATGATGCTATAGTCCTTCTCAAATCCAAAAGTGATGCCTTCGGGCTACAAGGAGAAAACCAAATATTTCTCTACCAGTCTCTCTTTCTACATTTCTGAAAACAAGATTTGTAGAGACTGGATAGTTTAAGAGATTTTAGACTCTTTACAACATGCAATGGAGTATTCACTTTGATTTGATACGTGAAATACTTACCTTTTTTGGCCTGTTTTTTTTTACCCTTGGCATTAGTTTTATTTTGAGCTTTTCTCTCCTATTTTTTTGATAAAATATGTATATTTGATTTATTGAACCTTGCAAGGCACCAATAGACTGAACTTTTATCAACCATTTATGAGACACACTTGCCTCTTCAGTATTGATAGAGTTGGAGTTGTATTTTTATCTGTGTTATCAGCTCTGGATCGACATGTTCTTAAATTTGTTCAGTAATTAGTTCATCTGAAGGAGCAGAAAGCCTTTTTGTCAAGTGAATTTATCAATTGGAACACATTCAGATATAAGACCATCTTGGAGTGAGACCTACTTCTCTTAAAGGGGCAGTTTTTTTTAAGATTTACATTACATATATGACATTAGTCCTTCATCAAAAACATACCTGGATTGTTGCACCTTTCCTCCGCGTCTGCCCCACTCAGCTCCTTCAGACTAGCCAGTAGTAATTGGCAAATACCTGATGAAACTGTGTATCTGCTGAGCTCATTATAGGAGATTATATGGCAAAAGGTTGTTAAAGGGTTAATAGTGGAGCAATGTTGTGATGACTTCCAGTAGGCGGAGAGAATTAGATGTAGGCCCAATTTTAAGGCATTAAATTGCAAAGAAAAATTTATTTTAAATCACATTTGATATATATACATATAGCAATTTTATAGCAACTGAAGGTAATTATGGTATAAAAAGGCACTATGTACCTGGAAGATACAAAATACAGCCCCTTTAATTGTTTGGATCTGATTTTGCTTAGAAACTTGAGTGAAAAGAAGGCAATGATTAACTCTTTGGTCACATAAAATCTCAATCAAATTTATTAATGTTTGCAGTTTTAACATTAAAAAAATAGAAAGGATTAGGTGTATTAACACTTTCTCCAATGCTTGGTACATGTGTGCTTCAAGAAACGCTTCAGTTAGTTCAGAGCTGGTAGTCGGTAACAAGGTTTACTGACAGATTCTTTGTAAATTTAGCTCAGTGTGAAGCTGTGCTCCTCATACAGCCTTCTGTTTCTCCACTGGTCTCTTATTGCCAGCACTCCTTTGTGTGACTGGAGCTCTCTTTAGCACAGCATCCCATCTATTTCATTCAATTTGAAGTCTCAGGTTTTTCTTTCCCCTGACTGATCCCCCCCCATCTGTCTCAACATAATGTCTCCGAGTATAGACATGAGGTGCTTTCAACACCCACATCCTCCAAACACACTAATCGGCATAACAAGGCTGCACTCTTTCCATTTTTGCAGTTCTAAATGTGAAACTCTGAATTTTATAACACAGAAAGGAAGATTAACAAATTTACCTGAGACTTTCTGCATATGTCTGAATCAAGCTGTTTTTTTTTTGCCCCCGTCTGCTTCACTATCTAAACTCTTGATCATGTATCTTAAAATGACCTGCAATTGCCTTTTTTCTGTGATGACTGAAAAAATAAGAACGCATAAAGAAGAGCTAAAAAAAGACAATATGACAAATAAATTAGGCCCAGTTTTCCTGATGAGTTTTATTTAGTTAAAGATCAAATCACTGAAAGTGAATGTGAAACTGAATACTTTTATTTTATTAATTTTCCAGCATTGTCTTTCTCTTCAAATTCAAAATAAAACTGTGGAGTGATAACTATGGAATATTCAAACAAATTGAAAAGAGGTCATGCACTTATGCCAGTTTTACAGATTCAATTGCTCATACAACCACTCCTGAGTAGCAACACATTCAAGATGGCTCCCTTTGTTGGTTGCTGGATTTGGATAATAATAAAAGAATTTCCATTCAGTGATTGGCGCTATTCCGCTAATGTGCATAAAGGTGAGACAATTTTTTTATTTAGTGTTTTGGCTATCTTTAGCATGCTTACCTTCCCCATTCAAATTCTTTCATATGTGGTTGATTTGGAAAAATTAGTGACAGAATTAGCAATGCTCAACTATAGAACCGAAACCGTACATAACCAGTACACATCGATAGTTAGCTAGCTAAACGGCTGTCCTGGACATTGAAAGAGTTGAACATGACTCAGACATGGAAGTGAAGTTGAGAGTGGTTTACTTGTTTCTTTATCTTCAGTGAAATGCTGTCTGACAGTGTTTCCAGAACAAATTAGGGAACTGCAAATAAAAATATAAAAATGAACCTCTTGCATTGTGCAATTATTCTGCATTATGCCATTGTTAATCACGCTACACATGACTAACTGAAGCTAAAACACTCATCCATAAAACTTACTCAAATAGCATGTACATCAATACTGATTCTTCTACGTAAAATATAAACCATCAATTAACAAATAGAGCTTCACCAAGACCCTGCACAGGTGGATGGATCATAATCCGCCTTTCTTTGCATGCTTTCCATAAGCAAAACGACTCACCTCCCCATGTGAGCACAGATATGCAATTGTGCTAGGGCAGACATTCATAAAGCGGCCCGCTGTGTTTTTGAGTTAAAAAGTGTTTAAAGTTGACAGGAAATTTTAAAATATCACTTGATAATTACCGGTGTCTGTTACTGCGCAATATTAATACCTGAACACCAACTATAAAGTCTTAAAAAATGCTAACATTTTTAAAGTCTTAAAAAAATAAGCAAAGCTTAGCCTGGGGAGGAGGGACATAAGTAAAGCCTGGTAGCCCGTCAGGCTTTGATACACTGGAGGAAACTCTGAGATTTTATTCTTCACAATTACTCCATTACTGCTCAGTTTGTGTCAGTTTGAACAAAGCAACCAAACAAAACAGAACAAGAAAAAAACTAAATGTTGTGTGAGCCCGTTTTATGTGCAGTGACCTTCTACGACCTACCCTCCTTTTGAATGGGCTTGATTACTGTTTGCTGGATGACTGTAAAGTCAGGAATTTTTCTCCATGAAGCCATAAAGTTTTGCATAACATTTCTGTGTTCATGTTTTTACTTATTTTTCAGGCATTAGTTTCATTTTTTTTTAATTCTTCTAATGATATTCTACTTTGAGATGTAGCTGTAGTGTGCAATCATGTCTTGATAAATGGAGAGCAGTGGATTTCTTCTGAGTTTTAAAACACGACGTAGCGTTACCGACCCAAAGGTACTTCGTTACAGCAATACATTCATTCACTGGTTTTGTTCCAGTGGTTGGATTTAGCGGAATAATTAATAGCTGACAGTTTTCATTAGCTTAAAAAGTCACCTCCCAGTGTTTTTTCCAGTCCATTTGTACAGAGGGAGTCACCTCCAAAGTCCCAGTAAGCAACCGTCACGCTTCTTATACCAGGAAGACAAGACAAGACAGACTCCCACCTGGCGTATTCTACGTGACGCGAATTAATTACAAAATCATTTCTGCCCTCTTAATGAATTAGGGGAGAGAATCAAGTGCTCAATTAAATGATTAGGTTCTGAGCTGCTGCAAAGTCTTTGCAAATTCCAGTCAAAGCCGGAGCATTAGCAGCAATCTGCCTGGAACAGACCTGACCATTGTCCCTTTATCAGAACGCTGAGTGTTGGCGTTTTCCTATCAGCTAAGACCTGGTACTGCATATGTTCCTCTCCCTCTGTCTCTCTGTCATTCTTTTCTTCCTCACATCATCATTGTTAGAGCTCCCCTGCGTACCTTCTTCTCTTCATTTGTCATTACTCATGCCTTCCTCCCCCCTGTTGTAACTCTCCTATCGTCTCCTCCTCCCCCCTCATTTGGTTGTGATTTTTTTTCTCCCTTTAGGTCTCCAGGGAGAACGAGTGCTCCCAGGCCCAGCTGAAGGCGCTGAGCCAGCAGGCCGAGGCGTCCCGCAGGGAGCTAGGCGAGGCCCTCGGCCGTTTGGCTCAACGCGAAGAGGAGCTCCATTGTAAGAGCGTGGAGCTGTCAGAGGCCCACCAGAGGCAAATGGCGCTGCAGCAGGAGATCCGGGAGGTGTGTGGCTCACTGTCTAGAGATAGCTCGGTTCTCATAGTCGTCAGAGAAACAAAGCATTTGTCAGGAGTCTGGAGATGTCTGGGATGATAATAGAAGCTGTTAAGTTTGGACTATTTTGTTGAAAATAGTATAAGTATGGAGACATAATATTGAAAAAGTTTTTATTTCCAACCTTTATTTTTTCATTCTCATAGTAATTTCTTCTCTCTTTCCTTCCTCTCATCTTTCTTTACTTTCTTCTTTTCTTCCTTCCCTACTTTTTCCCTTTCTATCTATCTTTTCCTCCTTTCCTTGCTTCATTTTTTTCTTCTGTCTTTCCCACCTTCCTTCTGTCCTTTATTTCCTCCACTCCTCCCTTCTTTCCTCTTCCTGTCCTTCCTTCTTTCCCTCTGTTCCTTCCAGCTATCTTCCTTCCTCCTGCCTTTCTTTCCTTCCTTCCTTCCTTCTTTCTGGCCTTACCTCCTTTCCATACTTTGTTTCCTCTCTCCTTCTTTTCTTCTTTTTCTCAGTCCTTTCCTCCCTTCCTTGCTTTCACCCCTTTGTCCTTCTGTCCTTTCCTCACATGAAAGGTCAAATCTAATGCCAAAGGAATTAGCTGAATCCTATGAGGTGCTAACATTGATCCTAACCCCAGGTGAAGGAGGCCTTGGCCACCTTGCAGCAGGAGTCTCAGCATCAGAACGTCGTCATTGCAAGACTGAAAGAGGAGAACCACATACTGGAGGAACAAGCTGACGTTCAAGCCCGCTGCCTCCAAAGGGATCAGGATGCTAAGGCCGAGGTCCAGACCACCTTGAAGCAGATGACCGCCGCGCACGCCCAGCTGTCCCAGCGGCTGGCCGAGGAGGAGAACGCCAGAAAGGACGTGCAGAGGGGCTCAATGGAGCTGCAGGCCAAGCTGACGCTGCTACAGGAGGAGCGCACCACTCTGAGCCAGCAGCTGCAGCTGGAGAGAGAGGTCCATCAGAAGGAACTGAAGAACATGGCAGCGACAGTCAAAGACGACCTGACCAGGAAGGATCGGGAAGTGCAGGATATGGTCAGACTCTGCCAACAGGAAAATGATGAACTGAGGATACAACTAAGAGAAGTTAAGGTAGGAAATTTGCTCTTCATTACATCTGAGTTATTTTAAGAGTCTTATCTCAGCTTAAGAAATGTGACCTGTAGATCGTTGATTTGTATGTTTACAACACAGCAACATCAGAACATAGCAGTGTTATCTTTTTCCCACTATTGAATTACAGAGATACGCTCTCTTAGTCTTAATCTTACTCAGTCTTTAAAAATCTATTTCAAGAACATTTTAAGTCTTCAAAGACTTAAAAAGTTTTAAGTCTTTTTAAGACTTTGAAAAATCTTAAATTCATGCATCTAAAATGAAGGCCTTGAATTTCATTAAAAAATGTTAAGCTGGCCTTAAATACATTAATCACAGCTCTTCAAGTTTGTCCTGGCAGGACTATCAAGTAAGTCTATGTAGTTTTTTTTCTTGCAGGACTTTTCTGTAGCACAAACGATTGAGTCGTCTTCATTATGTTCTTTGACTTGAGTCAGTTGAGGTTGCCGCTAACTAGTTGACAATATAACTTTGCTAGCTATTTTTTTTTTGTGTGTCATTTGTAAGTCTAGTTGGGGCTACCGCTAACCACTTGCTAAATATATTCTTGTAGCTAGCTAACTCTTTTTTATGTTCCAGTTTGCTTCATAAATTCACTGGTCAGTGATCAAAATCAACAGCTTTTACGCTTGAGACCTGGGATAAAGGCTGTAGAGAACAACATGAACCATGATAAAGCAAGATGCCCCAACAACTGCCTATATTTACAAATTTTTCAGTTTTAAATTTCATTCAAGGTGGCATTACAAAAGGTTTTAAAAGTCTTAGATTTTCTGAAACCTCTAGTTTATGCCTCCAACCCTAAACAACCCCTCTCACAACGCTGGTCGTAATCTCTTTATCTGACTCTTGTCAGGGGAAATTATTTAGTATTTCTTATGAAATCCCGATCAAATCCTCTTAAATATCCAGTGCTGCCTCTATCGCCGCATAATGTTTCAGGTGTAACTGGCGTCCTTAATTTGTGTAAATCTCCTTAAATGTTTGAAATCACAAACCAGCCACAGGGATTCTGTTCACCTCCCGCCCACAACGTGCTTCGTGCCTATTAGCGATCAGAATCCGATTGGTTCTCGCTGAACATCTGGGATATTTCCCACCCGGCGACGCATGGAGGAAATGCTCTCATTTAAAATAATTTCTTTCGTCGGCTGGAGCTCTGTCCTCCAAATACACCCAAGGATCACCGGCGTTCTTAATGGCATGCGGCGCACCCGCAGTTCTTCAGGGGCTGCACCAAACCTCCAAGCGTGAATATTTAAAAAAAAAAAAAAACGCCACATATCAGACCTCGGCCGTCTCATCAAGGCTGCGCTGGAGATAGCAGAGGATCTGCTTAACTCGCCCTCCTCCCTGATGTTCAATATCTCCGATGATGAGCCCCTCCTCCTTCCACCCCCCAGGTGTACGGCTTCTTGAGGGGCGCGGTCCTCCCTGATTTGCTTGAGTTTAGCCCATTAGCCGCTCGAATGGCATTAATATGTGACATAGCTCATTGAAATGGTGACATTTCTGAGTGCAGGAAGGACAAGGACATTTCCTGGAATGTTTTTAAAAACTTGCCTGAGGGTGTGCACCAGATGTCCCAAAGAACCCCCCACCACACACACGTGCGCGCACACACACCTACACACACACACACTTCCATACACATCCAGAAAGCACATATTGCTGTTACGATACAGTCAGAAAATAGCTTAAAATATTCTAATTTCCTTGTTCCCTCGCATCACATTTTTTCTCCACTATGTCTTCTCCGTACTGCTGCCTCTCTCTATCTTAATCCTTTTCTTTCTGCTTTCCTTCAATTCTAATTTGGTATTTCGCATTTCCAGTTCCCGCTTTGTTTTTTTTCTTTTTTAGCCCTTTTTTTTTGTTTCAAGTCACGCTTACCTCTTCTTGTCTTTTGTCATTGTTTTTCCGAACACTTTGATTTGTTTGAGAGTGTAGTGTTTTTTTGTTTTCTTTTACGAAACTCGCCCTTCTGAGGCTTTTCTTTAAAACTTTTCAGACGTTGTAGACAGACACAGTCAGCAAAAGAATTATTATTCTTTGAGCTTTTTCATGTGTTAAAACCACCAAGTTGAACGTATCTTTTAGGAAGGTGCAGAAGATTCACATGATGCACCAACGCAAAGTGAAGACATTATGAAGTAGATGAAAAAACTGGCATTATAATTTCATTTTGGTACTTTATTTATACAGTAGCCTGGAGTTTATCAACTGATTGAAGACATATGCATGACTTTACGCACACACCATCCCGCTCAAATTTGCCATTTGTCCAACTTTGCAGCTACTATAATGCCATTCCTTATGACATGGCATTTCACAAAGTTTAGTAGTACCTTTATGGGAAATTCTTCTAGAAGAGGAATTGTGAAGTCAAACACTGATGTTGGATAAGTTTCAGCTCTAATCGATTTCTAAAGGAGTTTTGTTGCGTTGAGATCAAGAATATGACTTCAGCATGAGGCTGAAATAATCAAACACGATGGATTACTGAAATAATCGTTCACTAACTTCGTAATTGATAAATCGCTAACTGGAGCATACAGACAAAAAAAAAGGCCAATTATTGAAAGAACAACATATTCAGAGTTGTAATTTAGCCTTAGCTGTACTATATATATATATATATATTTATTACATTTTAGATTTTGAAAAAGGTTTGTAAATATTTTTTACCTAGACCTTTTGGTAAAAGTTTTAGCTCGACTCATTTCAAATTCTGTAGGAAGAAAATCTATTAAACATCTTTTGATGTCCAATCAGTCGGTTAATCCAGAAAATAATCAACAGATCAGTTGTGACTTGACAGAACATAAATAAGTTCATTGATTCCAGACTACTTTTGAAACCACTTCATGTTTCTGTTTTGACCTTTTTTGACCTGCAAAATCCCACTAGCTTGGTTGCGATGAGCTGAAATGATTACCCGTTTGTACACGGCAGCTCTGAAAACCCATCCCTCCCCGTCCTCCTGCAGGCGGACGCAGCGTCAGACAAGGAGCTGCGCGTGGCGCTGCACATCAAGTTGGACAGGATGAAGGAAGAGTGTGATAAGCTGGTGGCGCAGCTGCACACTAAAGACGGCGCACATTCTCTTCTGCAAAGAAAATACCATCAACTTAAGCAGGAACTGAAAGACAAAGTAAGCCAAGCTCGCCTCGTTGGGATTATATCAGTGAATGGAGGCCATTTTATTTTACAACAGTGCCTGGTTAGTGCAAATTAAAACATGCAAGACTGACTTCAAACACCACCAGCTTAATGTGTCATATTGAAAGCAAACATGTATATCTTGGCCTTCTTTAATCCTTTCACCTCCTTTTATATCTGTTTGGATTATATGACATATTATCCCAGCTACTGCTAAAAAAAAATTATATTTATCAGTGTGACTTTAGGCGTTTTCATAAAGTATTGATGCCGGCTCACCTCCTCGGCACAGACCTGATAAGTTGTATGTGGATTTTTCCTGGGCAGACGTGTATTGATTTGTAATTTGGCTTGTGCAGAAAATCCGGTTCCTATTCATGAAACATGGGTTATTATCTCGGCATAGAGATAATGATTCGTATTCCCACGGCGGCACTGTTCACTGAGGTTTCTGTCCTGTGACATATTGATTGGTTTTGTCCTGGAAGAAACCCTGAAATATTGCCGATATTACCCAAACGTAAAGAACACTGCTGTATGTTTGGCTTTTTTTTTCCTCTCTATTTTTAAACATTGAAACCATAAGATTTCAAAGTGTTTCAATAGAATTTTACAGCGCCTTTAAAAAGTATTCTCCTCCTGGAATGTTTCAGCCTTTTATTACTTTTACAAATCATTCCTGATAAACATAGTTTTGCTTTTTTGATGAAAAAAAACACACAAAAAAACCCCCCAAACCCTGTTTTATGTCAAAATAAAAACTAATTTCTACAAAATAGTAGCAAATAAAAATAAGTGATTGCACAAATATTTCCTCCATTTAAGTGAAGTGAGAGCTCCGCGCGGCGCAAGAGATAATCCAGCTGGAACACGGTGCGCTAAATAATAAAATATAATTTAACGACGCATCGAGGCAGATTAATTTTCCTAGAGGAATTTTAGTAATCGAGGTACTCGAATCACTCGAGGAATTGTTTCAGCTCTGTTCCGAACACAAATACACTCTGCATTTTCTCTTGACTTTTCATTTGGAGAAAATGTTTGAAACCCATTTCCCTTCCACTTGTCCAACTCTTTAAAAATGCAAATAATATTAAGAATGCTGACAATGAACAAAGTTATTGCTGTTTTCTAATGAACAAACTTGACTCATCCTAATCAGGTGAGCGTTGATGAGGACAGACGTGTTCCCGAGTCTGAGCTTATGAGGCTGGAGAAGAAGATTGTAACGATGGAAGCGGACCGAGAGACAGTCCTCACTTCTCTCGGGGAGGAACTGGATGCAGTCTGTCGGAGCCTGGCGGGGAACGGACAAGAGAAACTGCAGGTACTGGTTTCAGTTGTTTTTACTTTTTAGTTTTTTGTACTCTAACGGCTAAATTTGTAATCCCTACAACCCTCCAATCTTATTTGAATACCTCATAGAAGTCCTTTTGAAATCAACCAGAGATAAAATACGAAAAAGCAAACTAGTATCTTGACCTCTCATGCTGATTTATTATTATTGCTCAGTGTTCAGGAAAATCTTTTATTATTAAAGATAATAAAAGTTGGTTCACTTGGTTTGAGGCACCCTGTGTCCTGATTTGCAATCCATTCCTGCAGTGGAGTTCATTAGAATTTCCTAACAGGCATCGCTCTGTTTGTGAACACACAAAAATCTTCTGGAAGGTGAGGGTGAAGTGGGGGATGTGGGGTTGCTTTGGATACGGATGAGAGAAATTCCCATATAAAGGTTTGATTATGCCTCTTGTGTAACTTTGGTTTGACGGCCAAAACTGTAACTGTGAAAATATGTGGACTCATTTAATTACTCCCAGGTGGAGTTTCAAGTTATTTTTTGATCTGATAATCACATGAGCTTGCTTTGTTGGGTTGAGTCCTTATTTGCTGGACTCAACGTCCTGTTGAAATGTAACACACTCCTTCAGTTTTGGCACCCTTTGTTAAAGACGTGTGAACAGCCCTAAAATGAATCCTATAGCTTCAAATCACATTGGATGTCTCTTTCCACACTCTCTAGGTTATCTTATCCTTTTCCTAAGACTTCTTACAGTTTTTTTAAATACAAGTTTAAGGTCTGGGCAGTGGGATGACTTGAAAGAAGGTTGAACTGAACAATTTCTGCGTTAATTTGACCATATATGTGGATTCTCTTGAAAGATTAGGCTTCAGTGTCAGGCCTCCACCATACTTAAAAGTGTGCATTTTTATTTTCACTCCAGACACGTCTAAAGTGTTTGTTTTTTATACAAAAAGTTGAATCTTTTGTAACTTCGGGCAATATCAGATTTTTTTTTCTCTTTCCTCAGTTTTGACTTTTCGATTTGAGCCGTATCGGCCCAATTTCGATCTTTTCACCAGAAAAAAAAAAGTCTGATTTCAGCCATTTCCATATGCAGTGCTAAATTAGATATGTTTCAGACTTTTCAAAGCATTTTTAGTCTGAATAGTCATGTTAGATTTTGTACGATTTTTACATCATTGATGCGAGACGTGCGCCATATTTCTGCTCCAGAAGTCTGAAGCAGAAAATATGAACCTAAACGACATATTCTGACTCTGATTTTCAATATGACGCATTAAGCCTTTGATGTTTGAAGTCAGTCCTGCATGTCTATAAGATATATATATATATACACACACACAATTCAAGCAAAAGATTGGAATTAAACATCAAGACCTGCTGTGTGAACGTAGTTTTAGTCTTCTTAATGACCAAAAGGGGCAGTTTTGCAGAAACTACCTGTGAGCATCGATATAGCATCTGATGGTTGTTATGGAGACCAAGAGCTGGGGAATTGTTGACACCTCACCTGCGTTTCTGATGTAACAGATCACGATGAATTGTGTTTAGTGCACTGGAGAAGTCGATATTATTTATTTTCTGTCTTCGCTGTCATCCCATAGATGTCAATTCACACACATCACTTCTGGTTCATGACTAAACCTGACGAAGCATCCAAACTTGCTGGTTTTCATCACCTAATTTACAGCACTGCTATTCTTAAGACTCTTGGCCTTCAGGATTTTTTATAGCTGTGCTCGGTTAATAATGGATCATACACTTCCCCTGCCATGCTTGATTTAACATTAACGCTTTTACAAATAAATGAACACGGCTGGCTGTTGCAACGCACACACACACTGAACTAAATGTGCTGACTGCGGATGGGGGATTCTGCTAGCACACGGCAAATAAAACCTGCAGTAATAGTTTAAATTTTTAAGAAAATAAACAAAAGGAAGAAAAAAACTTTGTTAGCACAATTAAATATTGATTCAAATGGATTATCACAGATTACTACTTGTGCCAGCCTTGATATATAGCAATAAGGCTGCAGTTTATTGTTTTTATTAATTGAAGACATTATTATTGATTTAGCAGCTAATAATACTGCTTTGTGCATGTTCCCCCTCATGTTTACATGGCACACGCACTCTTAGGTTCTTGCTCCTAGTGTCTCAACCCTGCTGAAGGCTGATGAAGGCAGCCTGTTTTATCTGCTTATAGATTTCTCGCTCTGGTTCAGTGGAGATGCAGTTTGACAACCAACACCTTGCCTCAATGCTCATCCATCACGTTGAAAAGAAGTCAAACTTAGTAGTGATCAACTTAATGAGAGGTATAATCACCAGTATATGGATTTATTAGCAGTAGATTTTTTTTCCTCTACAGCCTCCACCTTGGTCATTTTGAGTACGATGATGTGTTAAAAAACTGGCAAGTCACCAAATGTGAACTCGGGAAGAAGTGAGAATTTAGTACGGGATTACTGATGAGAGATTAATTGTAGATTATTTTGTGTGTCAAGAAAAAACATTTCTGAGTTAATGGAAAAATCAGTTTTTGGTTGTTGTCAATTTTTTAAAGCTCAGTATTTTTTGAGGTTTTTCTTCAGTGGTTTCTAATCTGTCCTATAGTCAGTACAGACTGCCGCCTTGTATTTTAGCTTATTAAAAGATGAGTAACCTTCTATCCGGCCCTTTAAATCTAAAATTTACAAGTACACTTGAATGGACAATGAATGCAAGAGTCGGGTCAGAGTTATTTGCTTGATGGCTCGGACTTCTGTTTACGTTTAATAAGCATACTATACAAACAAGACAGAGAAAATCTACTTATTGCACTGAAAGTACAGGAATAAATATTTTAAGCAAAAGCTAAAAACGGGAATAGTTACTCTGCTTACTTAAATAGTGGTCTTAAAAACAGAAGTGCTAAAATCATAAGAATAATTTGTCGGGTTCACTTCGGGTTCAGGTCCTTAATGAACCCTCCTGTGGTCTTAGTCAGACTCCTGAAGAACGCAGCACGGGCACATACCGTCCAGTCAGACCGTCAGTTCCCAAAACTACATATAAAGAACTTGTAAACGTGTACGCTGAGTCATTCAGGACTTTATCGCAGGACAGCTAAACTTACTTGGTCAGACCAGACTCAGACACAATGCCTACTGGCTGAGGTCGGGTCATGTTGAATTTTTCTAGGCCCAATCTAAACTCTAGAGGACACTCTTGACAATTTTTCAGCCCATGACAGGTTTTATGTGAAGTGTCAAAGCAACAAACACCAAATAAAACAACAAGCTGAACAAGGACAAAATCAGACATGGTAACTCTGGTGTAAGAATAAGTTGACATTGACAACTATTTATCTTGGTGGTCCACAAATCCAAACTTTTATCAAAAATGGACACAATAGGACAAATGACAGAGGCTTTCCCTCCTATCTAACTCCCAACAGTCCAATCGTAATACATTAAAGGCTGTTATTGTAACTCGGCAAGATATAAGGTATGAATTTTCTTCTAAGGCATTGCATCATTTAAGTTCACACACCTTTTCTTTCCTGCATATCCTTTCTTTGTGTATGTTTTCTTTCATTTCTACTGTCTTCTTTTGTCAGATGATTAGCAAAGAGAAATACCAAAGTGAAGATCTTGTTGAAAACTTCCTTCTTTGTCATCTACCCTGCCTTTTTAGTCTGCGCGTTTCCCTCCATCTGCTTCTATCTCAGTGTTCCCGTCTCTTTCCATTTTCCCAGTGGGAGGTGAAACAAACATATGGCTTCCCAAAAAAAGAAAAAGAAAACACACCACCACACACTTCCTCACACTCTGAAAGAGACATAAACCAGGCAGTCGTATATTTAAATTAGAGGTGGTACAACCTCCTATTCCATGCCAGCTCTGCTTTTATAAAATAAAAAAAGAAAAAGAAAGAAAAAAGTAGTGGCAATATTTTTTTTCCCCCACTTCAAGCCCACAGACAGCACTTTCAACTCCCTGCCTACTTGTTACGTTTTTCAACAGTTTCGCCTCCTTTTTTGTCTGCCACCGAGCCAAACAGGCTTTGATGGTTGGAGGAAAAAAGTTAAGAGGAGTCGAGACGTGTCTCATCCTCCTCCCACACGGTCACATGCTCTGGCGTATCGCTGCGTTCTCCCAGTGATGGAGACCTTTGCACGGCGGTGCCGCGCTTTGAGACGCCAAATCAGAGAACCTTCAGGAATTCATCTTGCCTGGTTTCGAATGACAGTCTCCGAGGCAGGGGGAGAAGGAGCTTTGAACATGTGCAACAGGATTGTTGTTTGGACAGGGGGGGGGGGTTCAAGAAAAGTCTGCTGTTTATCCTGTTCAGGGTGCATAAACACCTTGTCACAAAGGTGTGTTTACAACAAGGTGTGTTTTTGGGGTTTTTTTCTTCAATATTTTGTCAATGCTTTTCTGGTTGTGTGCTGTTGTTTTTTTCATCCATTGCACCATGAGGAGCTTTATGGTTTTGTTTTTGTGATAAAGAGATGGTGTCAACCCAACCTCGAGTGATCTGTTTCCATTTTACATATTTTACCAATTTTGTACCTGTTTATACAAGTATGAACTTGGCCTTTTGTTTCTATTACTCTTTTTATTTTTTTTTATCTATGAAAATAAAACATTTGCAAATGCACTCCTCCCCAGTCTTTGGAAGTGAAAGGAGCTTTCTATCCATTGTTGCCGCTTTCAATTTGACCAGATAAAAAATATGTCAATTAAGGTCAGCATTTGCATGTCTTTGATTTTAGATAAATTTCAACTGAAGGTCGCAATTGCTCTTCCATACAAGCTTCTGACAAGAGTCATATCTGCCACGCAGTGGACAGTCACTCAGTGACAGGGTTCAGATTCCAGAATTACTTATCATTTCTTATCAGGGTTTCCGAAAGTTTTAAACATGTTACAACAAATTTTGTTTTGTATAGCAGAGTAATACAGCTTTGCCTCAGGCTGCTTAAAATATCATGAACATAATCAGCATTGCAATATTTGCAATAATGCAATAGCTGTGGAAATACAGTAAGTAAAGTTAAAACTTTGACTGCAAAATTTGTGGTAGGTGCCCACACCTTTTACGGATTTAGTTCCCAGGTTTCTAAAGGTGACGGAACGTTGCACGCACAGTAAAGTATCGGGAATATGTCGACAGAGCCATGAGATTTATTGAGATTTTGTCATAAATTACCAATGATTATATTTAGCTACCAAACGTCTTTACTCCTCTTCTTTCATTCATGTTCTTAGAATGCAATATAATCAGTTTTGATTAACACTCTAGCGTTCAGATACGGTCTGTTTGTTCTTCTTTCTAGAAAATAATCATAGATGGGCCGTATCTAATTATTTGTCCATGATTTAGTGGCTAAAAAGTAGCTAAAAAGACAGAAACTCCAAGTTGCCCAATAAGTTTTCCTCCAGCTCCTGATCATGTATTGACTTAGAGTCTGTGGTGTTTATTACAGAGCAGATGGAACATTGTGTGCATGCATGTGTTGTGTACATTTGTGATGTTGAGCGGGTGTGAATCAATATGTTGCCTGCAGCATAGAAAGACCCAACTTTTGTATTTTTGGGTAGTTGGAAAGTTACTAGGCTGCCCACAAAGCGACACATGGTTGATTTGCAAAACGTGTTCCAAGAATTTAAAGGAAAGGAAAGTTATCTTACTTAGCCCCTGAGTAAGTCAGGCTACATGAAACAGAAATATTTTTTTTAACGAACTAAACTTAAGCATCATCTAATTTAAGAGATTGTCTTTTTTTTTTAGGCGAAACATGCTAACTAGCTTGGAGTACGCTACCTCTGATGTCCAAATTACGCCGCACCACCCTCTCAGTTTATGGCAGACTACTTCAGGGGGGGAGAAAAGCCAATACCTTCATTATGCTATAAATTGTCTTTTAAATCATATTTCATATAGATAGCATTTTTATAACAACTTAACATAGTTTTGTACTAAATAATCTGGCTGGAAAATACATAATACTGCCCCTTTAATTTTTGTCTTTCACAATTGCAGCATCCCACACCTTATGGAGCTACTAAAAATTAAAATAGACAACTAAACTTATTGAACTTGTTTTATTGTAGAGAGAATTGCTCTATTGCTCTATTATAGTGACATGCACACATAGACACTAGGTGGTGCTAGAGTACCTGTCCCTTTTCCTCTGGACAAAGTGTCCCTCTGAAATCTTTCCTTATTTATTCCCTTTTTTTAAAAAACTGTAGTGTGTTAAAATGTCTGCACACACCACTGCTCTACACATGGAAAGCTTAGGAAAAAATGTGTTTTCTATTATTCTTTTATGTACCGATGTGAATATGTGTTTGCTGTTTCATACAACAGAGGTGATAAAACATTGAGTGGGCTGGTAACCCGCACATCTGGCTCATTTAAGCATTGATGGACAGAAGCTCTCCAACAAACGTCACAGTTTTGCTTATCTGTGTATTGTTTTCTGTGTGTGTGTGTGTTGGTGTATATGCGCGTGCGTGGGTGTGTGTGTGTGTGTTTGTGTTGGTGTATGTGCGCGTGCGTGGGTGTGTGTGTGTGTGTGCGCGCGCGCGTGTGAATGTCAGAACTCATTAAGAGTTGGCAGTCAGCTTGCATCATTGATCCTGTCAAGCTTGTCCAAGAAGACTGAAACACAGTCCCTGAGCTCATTTTTGTCACACACAACCTCTATTCAAAGATGCGCATGCACCAGTGTATGCATGTGTGTGCATGTGTCTGTTTGTAGTGTCATACGCTGTTAAACACATATACTGCAATTTGAGCTGGCAGGAGCTTCTCACTGAGGTTAAGGGTTTCATCTCTCCTTTATCTGGTTTGTCTACCCACCTTTTTTTTTTTCCTCTTTATGTTTTGTTACTGGTTGTTTCTCTATAGATATCTCTTGGTGTTGCTGAAACTTCCCTAATATTCAGACTTCAGAACAGGCAGTACGATTCTGCAGAGTATAATAAGAATGGTGCTCCAGCTCATATTTGCATTTATTTTTATTCTGGTTTTAACAGGCGATCTCCCAGAGACCCGGATTAGTGAAGGATCCCCATCTTTGGCTCGCTGAGACAAAGGTATGCTAGCTTTGTCAGAACTCACGCAATGATGCAGATGTTTCTGTATCATTTGTGTATAGTTATGTTTTGCACAGAACCTAAAAATCTGTAAAATTTCACTGTTTTTGTTTTTCTTCTGGATTCTTTCCAAAGTGTATTTCTGCTTTCAAGTGAGGCACAAAATAAGGGCAGTGGAATTGACATAGGTAGCAGTGTACTTGTAGCTTACAACAAAAACTGGGCTGTAACACACCCAGTTGCACAGACATATACACATATGTGAAAGAGATCAAATCAAACTAACCAATGAACAGAAACAGATAAATCAAAGAATAAATATATTTATTTTCTAACCGGGAAAAAAAAGGAAATGTTGGTTTCTGTTAAGTTGTTTTACTTTCCTTATCAGAAATTCATTTGAACATTTTAGCCATTAGTATTTTGGTGTTAGACTAAATGCATACACAATTCAAAATTTTGAAAAAAAAAACAAACAAATAAAAAGCCATTTTACTTTGTTTATGGTCCCTACAACTTAAAATTCTAATTGAATTGGACCTGTGGTTCATAGATGGGTCTGAAATATCAAATAAAGAATTAAAATTACATTTTATAAACAAAGTTTAAATACTGTGCTCAAAAAGTCTTCATTAAATATGCACCAACATGAAAATATCCAATATTGATATCTAATGTTATTGTTGGTGTCATGGCTGATAACCAATATTTACAGTTACTACAAGTATTCTTATACTGTTTCAAGACTGTGAAATAAACAATAAACTGCAGGTACGCAAATTAGTGCAGATGTATTATTCCTAATCTGCATTTAGTCAATGACAAATTTTTAACATTTTGATGTAAAACTGAGACCTCGGTTAAGTTGGGATATATTATTTGGACTCCCTTTTCTATCAGTTCTGACATATAAATAAACCAGCCTTGACTGGCCTTGTCCATATTTTATAAGTGATCAAAAGCTTACTTAATAAACCTTAATGATGTCCATTTATGGGATAAAAAAAATCTAAACAAATGAAAGACTTTAAGTAAACTGATACCTGTTATTTTGAAAAATGAACATGTGCTGGTTCCAGCATAAATGTGGTAAATTTAGTTTTGTTGCTCAAACTGTCTTTAGTGAAGACACTTAAATTTGCATCTACTGCTTTTATTCTTTCTTTGTGGATTTCTGAAAGTATAAAACATGAATAAGCCTCAGAATAGACACGCGAGAAAGTGAAAAAGGTTTGTTGTTTTTTGATTGGTCAACTGAGGATTAACTTTTACAACTGTTATAGTGTTTATGTTACTGTCTCTTAAACAAAAACAAAAAAAAAAAAACAATTTCTCCACAATCAATTTCCCACATCAAAACTCTCCACCATCGGTTCTTCGTATTCGTGATATTTTCGTGTACATAATGCTTTGTCACAAAGCTCATATCAAATTAAAGCACACTGCTGCATAGTTTCACACAAAGCAGAAATGAGAGAGAGGATGGTTAAAAATACTGGTTTATAATTAGGCCAAAAACACAGAAAAGATGTGAAGAAGAAAAAAAGCCCAGTGAAGTGTTGATGCTAATTATCATGCATAAAATCGGTGTGATCATTTGTAATTAACCCACTGCTACTGACTGGATATGTGTTCCCTTCGTGTTACGACTGTGTGCACTGTATGTAAAAATGTTCCGACTAGTTTGATTGATTTGTAAAGCAAAGCAATCAGGTACAATATTTTAGTGTTGATTTTTTTTTTTTTTTTTTTTTTTAGCAGAAAAGGCCAAGCTTTTCACAAGATAGTTGTAAGTTTGTTTTTTTTTTAGCTAAAGATACATCCCTTGCTACAAATAATTAAATGTACACTAAAGGAATGCTACGATATTGCATTTTAGGTAATAAAATGTTTATTTTCTTATCTGGAATGGAATCATTTGAGTGAAATGTTTAAAGAAATTTCAAAGGGACCTGTCAAAGTGTGCCCCGTTGGCAGCGTTCTGATTTTAAATTTAGCATCAGTGCTAAAGTAAGCTACAATGTACATGTGGAGAGTCACAAGCATATTGAGTAATATGGACTTAAATTCAGGATGCTAAAATCAGTGTAGAAGCTAAAATGAGCCAAAATGCTAGTGTTAGCCTAAATGTTGCCAGTGGGCTGTGGGGTATCACTAGCATGATCTATTACAATGACTTTCCTCCATTCAGTGTGCTAAACATAAATAATAAATTTTAAAAATAGCTAAAAAGTTTCAGTTAGGGAAAAGGCTGGGAAAATGTTTGCGGTAATGTTAATGAAATGCCTTCTGATTTTAAATTTTGCAAATGTAAAATTTACATGTTTACTTTGTGGCACTTAGTTACCAGAAAATGCACTCATCTCTTAGCAACAGATTAATAACAAATATTGTTATTGTTCAAAAAACATAGGATTGCTTTTGCTCTTTTGAAATACTACTCTTTTTGTACTACTGACTTCTTAACACAAACTGTGCATTTAGTGAATTTGGCGGAAAAGTGAATTTTTTATATATTTTTTTGTCATTGGTGGTAAATATATCATAAAACAGACATTCAACACAAAAGTAAAAGTCTGATTTCTACTTCGTGGCAGTTCGGTACCAGAAAACAAAAAAGACTCATCTCTTAACAGAAAATTAGTAAGTAATATTATTGTTAATAAAACATAAGCTCTTCTGAAATGTGCTTATCTGCTTAGACACAATAAATTTAATGTTGGTCAATTTTGAAAAAGTAATGGTGAGTTCACACCAAAAGCGTTTTGAGTGTTAAGCGCATCTGGTTTACATTTAAAGTCCATGTGGAGGCATATTGAGGACCGTCGTGGTACATTTCATGTGTCCAACGTGGTGAGATTTGAACCATTTTGAGCGTTTGAAGTGTCAAGAGCGTCCAACAGATAACAATGGTTAGCACTGATGCATCTGACCGCCCTCGACGTGCCGCCACATGGATTTTCAACATAAACCAGATGCGCAAAAAGCTAGATGTAGAGCAAAATGTCAACCGTCTGCGTCAAAAACATCAGACGTGTTTTTGACGCTCGTAACGCACCATTAAAATCAGATGTTTATTTCATGGCACTTGGCTACCAGAAAGTGCACTCATCTCTTAGCAACAGATTAACAACAAATGTTATTGTTCAAAAAACATAAGAATTCTTCTGCTCTTTTAAAATACTACTTATCCTACACTCGTACTTAACAAGAACTGTGCAGTTGGTGAATTTGGTAGAAAAGTTAAATATTTTTTTATGTCATTGATGATAAATATATTTTAAAACATTCAACACTAAAGTAGAAATCTGATTTATACTTTGTGGTAGTTCGTTACCAGTAAAACATGCTCATCTCTTAACCCCAAATTTATAAAAATTGATAATATTGCTTGTAAAACATAAACTCTTTTGAAATACTGCTTCTCTGGTTAGACACAAGAAATTTACAGTTGGTAAATTTTGCAAAAGTAAAAATCAGATGTTTACTCCGTGGCACGTAGTTAACAGAATGCACTCATCTCTTAGCAACAGATAAACAAGAAATATTATTTTTCAAATAACATAAGATTTCTGCTCTTTTGGAGTACTACTTATGATGCACTTTGCAAGGCATTTAAAAACTCTGCGATGCATTGCTATGGCAGGCCCCAATCATTATTTCTTTTGTGAGGGTAACTAACTGTGTGTCACATCACGAATACTGCTCATGAAAAACATTCCCATTTGTAAAGCACTTTGGTTATTTAATGAAGTGTGCGTTGCATCATTAAACTGGCCACAGTTTATTCATATTTTTTATGTTTATTGATGCTTTCATTGAACAAACAGTTGAGAAAAAAGTAAAACTAAGAATCCTGACGGTAAGGACAGTTCTGGTGGATTTTAAAAGTCATTAAATGGAATTTATCTCAACTATAAATACAAAGTCTTATTCTGACAAGTATCACGATAAATGATAATCGATAAACGATACACTACAATAAATGCCCACTTGTATCACCAACGTACAAACCCAGCAGTTTCAGTGCACACATTTTTAATTTTTCTTGCATGCTATGCATGAACCCAACCAGACCAAGCTGCGCTGGCTGAACGAGGAAGTGCGAGAGCGCGACACGAAGGAGCGGCGCCTGAGGAAGCAGCACCAGCAGACCAGAGACGAGCTGAAAGCTCTCAAGCAGAGCCGTGACTCGACGCGGGAAACCCTCCTGCAGCGCCTGGACCAACAGGAGAAGCTTCTGCTCTCCCTCAGCACGGAGAAGAAAGGTAGTGCTTAACCAAAAAAAACAAAAAACAACTTTATGATGATAAATCACTTGGCCCCTCCATATATGCTGAACTTGTGATGGCAAAAAAAACAAAAATAAAAGATAGGTGAGGATCTCTCCTGCCTTTGATTCACAGGCTCCTCCAGCTGATCTCTCTAACACGGCTGAGTCAGACTCACATCTTTCTGTCTGCTCACACCATCTGTATGAGTGGTAATCCCTTTAATTGGACACTTTTGTCACTGTGTTTTGTTTTCATGGACGCTGACAAAGATGCCTGCCTGTGCCCTCATGTGAACTTAGTTTTATCTTTCTTACTGTTTTTATGCGTTTGTATTCTTGCCATTATAAATTTTTGAGAAAGCATCCTAATGATTTTGTATTGGAGTCTTTTTAGCCTACAACCTCTACTTTTTTTCTTTCTTTCTTCCCTTCTTTCTCTCTTTTTGTCTTCTTGTTTTCTTTCTTTTTTGATTTTTCCCTCTTTCTTGTTTTCTTTCCCTATGATGTGTTTCATTCAGAAGAGAAGAGGAGTTTAAAGACAGTCAGACAGGTAGAGTTGGGGAGCCACTATGAAAAAAATCGTGTCACTTTTTTACGGTGTTTTGTAGCAATATTATTAACATTGAATAAATAGTCTAAATTAAAGAAACCCTTTACATGGTGCCTCTTGTTGTACAGATGGTAATTAAACACATGCTGTTTACAACCACAGAATAGATGCCTCTAATAAAAAAAATGACTGAAAGGCTGTGTTTAGCATCATCTCTGCAAAGCTTGGTTTAAAGATGAGATTACTCCTCCTGTATACTGCTGTCATTTATAGTTAAGGTCAAACATATGTTAGATTTCTTTTTTTTTCAGGTTTTAAATTTCAATGTTAACATTGAAGATCCTTGTTTTATTCTTCTCATAAACACAGAATTTCAGAGTTTGACCCAACTTTGTATCTCAAATCATTCTAAAACTAAAGTTATTTTCATATAGAACATTTATTAAAGTGCAGCAAAAATCCACATACAACATTTAATAATGGGATCCAATAGGCATTTGTTGAAAGTAAATATATTCTTACACACATTTTTTTTTTTGGGCCCGATATTGCCCCCCTTCTGCGCAGAGAAAAAGTACTTTTATTGGCTCCTTGCAGCAATCTATCTATTTTGTACAGTTCCGACTCATTCGCCTCTTCACTTGAAAGCCACTCTGCCCTGCATCCAGAGATAAGAGCGGTTCTGGTTTTGTGGAACCCAGCACGGCTTTCAGGTAAAATGGGACTGAACTTGAGTCAGCAAAGATTGCACTTGGCCACTCTGGCTATCATCCTCCAGCTGGTTCCAGGCCTGATTAAAACGGACTCGGACTATGGAGGCTTGAGAAAGTTGTTCCACAGAAAGAAATTATCGTTTTGACTTTAGTCTTTTTTTCCACCACGTTTCTGTGAAATTGGCTGTGGTCAGATTTATTACAGGAAGAAAACATTCATCTTCAGGATTTTATATATTCATGAGATATAAACTGATGTAAGCTGTCACATAAATGATGTAATATTGCTGGAGGCAGGAATTCTTACAACAAATCCAAAGAAGCCTCTGACTGAAGGCTGTTACTGTATGATTTGTGACTATCATCACATGCTAACAACTCATTATCTTTGATATTCTTTATAACGTATTTTTTAGTTATGAGTTCTGTTTTGCTGTGAACTGTCTGAAAAAATGTGTTTCTGATTACACACTTAGGACTTTGTATTGATTTCCATTCATTTTAATAAGTGCATTTATCTCTAACACTAACAGTATATTTCTAAGTTGAACCTGAACTTGATTCATGTTATACCTCCAGCCCTTGATCCTGAAAAATGGGGTTCAGTTTATTAGGCCTGAGCTTTGGTCCTATAAGGTCCATCGGTCCTCAGAAGGTTAGTAAATAAACCAAAGAAGGTTCCAGAAAGGCATCATAAACAAGTACACACACACATCAATATGCACATTCACACTGAGCTGCCAGACCGCTCATATTTAAACTTGAGGTTGACCAATAGTATGGCCCACCAATATTAGTTTTTTTTTAAGTGTTTTGACTTTGTACTCAGTTTATCTGTAAACAGGCACATCTTCAGACAGCACATCATGTTGACACAGGGATGCAGTCAGTCTTACACAATCTGACAGACAGTTCCCAGAGAATGTGCTCACTTCTAAAAATGAAAACATTACTAATGGTAAAAGAGGAAGACATCGTGCTATTATTTTTTTTATCAATCTGTATTTATACATATAAGCAAAAATAACAGGTGCATCATCTTTAACTTGTTATGATTTCCAACCACCAACAGAGCGCTAACAGCGGTTTTGTCATTTTTGCTGAATGGCAAAAATTTGGTTACAGGTGAATATTATAATTTTTTATTATTTAAATAATAGCATGTAATCTAAATTAAGCATAAACTTGGTTGATTAGATTCCTTTATATTTACAAAAAATGTTTAAAACTTTGCAAAACAAGACATTCACTTCAATGTCTAGTTAAAAACAATGATTTGTTTGCTCTACAAAACAATCAAATACAATTTCGCAAACTGGGTTCAGAAAAATATGCTGTGACATATTTTTTTTATTAAATTAGTCCTATGAAATTACGCCCCTAAGTTTTATCAGCATGGGAACTGTCACCATGTATGCAGATTGCTTGAGCCACGTCCAGTCATTTTCAAAAAAACTGTGGAAGCTCCTTTCTAAAAATTTCAGAATAAAATTGAACTGTTTGCAATTTTTGTATCGGCCGTAACTTCACAAGTTGCGCTGCGCGAACTGGATGTTGGTGAAAACAAAAACAACCAGCAAACGAGCAGAGCGCATTCTGGATTAATGAAGCTAGCTTGGATTTCAGGGAGCGTCTTCAAAGTGAGCGTGGTTCTGAGAGCTCTGCTTTTCAGCCGTAGCATCTTATCTCACGCAGTCTCCTCGTTTTCAGAGCTGCTGGAGAGGAGTCACACAAAAGAGGAAGAAATGAGAAGCCTTCAGGTCAGATTAATATATTTTCAATAATCTGTGCTGGATCCGTTTGTAGATTTATTTTTTATTTGTTTTCGTCTTTCCCCTCTTTCCACTTCAGAAAGAGACAACACGTTTTTCCCTTTGTCTTTTTCTGCACGTCAGCTGTTTTTTCAGCCGAATCACATTTCTCTGATTCTGCCCCCCCATCCACTCCTACCCCACTCTACTGCACAGCTGTGCGCCTGGCAGACTCCTCCAGGGCTTGGTTGAGCAAATAGCTAATTACTGCAGACACAAGGCCTTGGAGTTTAAAAGTCACTAAAGGCCTTGTCATTTTTTTTTCTCCTCTTGGCAGGCCACCCACTCACCTAAGCCGGAGTTGACCGGCCCCCGCCGGAGTCTCGCTGGCGCTTTTACACCCCATTAAAATGCAAAGCAGATGCACGTACACACATAAACACACTGAATCGCATCTGCAAGGATGATTTACATGTAAAGAGGCAGAAAACGGAAAGCACGAGGGACACCGATGAGTTAAAACGAAAGATGGGTGGGGAGGAGGGAAAAAAAACCCTTGCCTGAAAGCATCAAGACATTGCAGAAAACGGGGGAGAGAGGGATGCCTTCTGCAGGGAGAGGCAGGTGTACGTTTGAGTGGCAGATAAGAGCCAAAGCATCACTTATGCATCGTTAGCGAGGGAACATCAGTCAGGAGCTGGAGGAGAGGATGGAGCATTTTGTCTTTGAGAGCATGATAAGAAGAACTCTCCCCAGCCGCTGCGTTTTCTTCTCTTGTTATGTTAGAACACCCTATTCCTCTCTTCTTTCAAGGTTTTTTTTTCTTCTACATGCATCTGCTGTGTTTCTTTTGTTTTTTCTTAGTCGTGCTGAGCTGTTACCTGGACTTAGTTTTGCACACATGGAAGCATCCTGTGTTTGAACTTCACTTGTTCACGTTCAGGTTTCAATTCATCCTTAATCCTAATCTGTTGCGTTTTATTTCTGTTTTAGGATCGTGTGTTGGATCTGGAGATGGTAAGATTTGATTTCTTGTAGTACGTTACTGTGGAAGTTCAATGAAGATTTTATTTAAATATCATATTGAAGTTAAAATTGTACCAGTATGATTTGATTTAGCCATATAAACTGGTTCACCTGTAAATTTAGGTGGAAAGGTCAAACTTTAAGACCTTTCCTGCTACAGTTTTCAAATATTTGTTGATTTTTTTAGACTGATTTTGACACAAATGTCCAGCATGAGATGGTGTATATGTAGAATCACAGTCAGCTATGAGAGCCATAAATCTTTATGAATAAGCATGTGTTTGTGAATCCAAAAATTCAGATGTTGTGCATAATTTTTTTTTTTTCAGTTGCTCACATGAGATAACTATTGTATTATCTTGCTACGTTGAAATAAAGAGACCTAGTCTTACTCTGTTGAAGAAGCCACCAAAACATCTCACCTCAAAATAACACCTCAAGCTTTTTTATTATAACCGTCTATATCACTTAGCATCAAGCTCTTTCAGTGTTCTGTTATTTTTGATTAAATTTGATTTTTAGTGCTCATTATGTTGAGATAACAATGCCGTAAGCTCTTTTACCTTTGACGACTTTAAATCTCATTATTTGGTGATTTAAAGAAACCACATGCCACCTTGTTTCATTCTTGAAACATTTCAGTTGTGATAAACTAAAATTTTATCATTTTTGTGATTTTATTTCACTATTGCAGTGGGATAATATGATCTTAAACTTCCTTGTGCCTTTACATGTAAAGAGTGCCCTTACATGTGGTCAAATCAGACAATGAAACAATGGACCAAGTTTTATTCTGAAACTTAGTCCTTTTATTTCAGAAAGTTAGCTTTTCATATTTTCTCTATATCCTTTTTCCATACTGATATTGAAAATGCTGGAAGGAAATTCCATATTTTGAAAACTACATGGTAACCCTAAAGATTTGTTTGACTGCCCAAGAAGACTTATCCAGGGTGAGAAATGATTGTTTTAGTCGAGGCTCAGAGGCTCCGTTAATCATTACAAGTTTTGCTGATGGTGCCCAGAAGTGAGCCTTAATGACAATATGGTATTGATTCTACCCTCCGCACTATTAATGACCACCGCCAACATCCTTAATCAGCAATTAGATGTCTGATAGAAATTCGTTTGCTCTGATCAGAGGTTGCATTGACCCGAGTGCCTTTAACAGCCCTAAAAATAAATAAATAAATAAGTGTAGGAACCTGTCTTAACACACAAGGACCATCTGTCACAATTATACGCCATGCTTGTCAGCTTTAGCCTTCAGTTCGCTGCAACAAGACGGAATAGGAGATGTCTCGAACCTCCATCAACTCCTGCATTTTCTGCCGGCAGTGGGAACACATCGACCCGTTCTCCACTCAGCCCAGCTGCTCAGGATCACCCAGCAAATCTTACTAATATGTCAGCGTGACAGTCGGTGATGCCTCCTAACAGCCAGTTTCCTTTTGCTGCTTAAACACACCAACCTCGAGTAGAAACAGGGCAATTTCTGAAGCTAACCACGGAAATGTGAATATAGCAGCGCAGCCAGATCTCTGCTGATGTAAGATCTGATGAGTGAGTTGTGACAGAAATTCTTGACTGCTATTTGAATTGGCCAGATAGTATACAGTTTGTCACCAAACTTTCAGGGTGCCCGCACATCCTTAAAACGTCCCAAAAAGTCTTACGATTATCATCTAAAAGTAAAGGCTTTAAAATGTCTTAAACTCATTACAAAAAATAATCTAAGTTGGCCTTATATGTTCATCCCAGGCCCACATATATGTTGTGGCAGAACTATTTAATCTCACCTATTCTGCATAGTATTTAATTTTGTTGTGTCAGCCAAAAGTTTGAGTGGCGTGCAGACATCTTCATTACGTTCTGTGACTCAAGGCAGTTGGGGCTACCACAAACTAGCTAGGTGTTTTTTGTTTTTTTGTTAATCATGGACAATTAAAAATGTATTAACTGTTGGATAGACAATGTTGGCCCTCACCATTGGCTCACTTCTGTTGCCAACCCCAATTGAGACTCAGTGCTTTATGATTTTTGCTCCTAGGGCTGTGCTCAGCCCTAGGGGCTAAGCCTGTGACTGTGAATAAAGAAAATGTTTTTTTTTTTTTCTGTCATGGATCAGGTCTTAAATTTAATTAAGACCTGATATAGGTCTTAATGAATGGTCTTTAAAAGTCTTAAATATGAGTCGGTAAAACCTACCGATATCCTGTTCTTACTACAAAGCCACTGTAAAGTTGAATTAGAAGAAATAGAGGACAAAATATGGGGTGTCAGGTCAAAAAATTGTTTGCAGCAAATACCAGCATCTGAAAGACCCATTTTTGGGAAATTGGTTTGAATCTTGTCAAGACCCAACTGTGGGCCTGACAAATCTGTCACTGTTAAGCTAAGACTGATGCAGTAGACCTCAAATTTTTGAAAGCTCATATCACCCTGTATAAACTGAGGTTTTCAAAAAGCACACCTACATATAACTGTAGTGTAACAGAACAATGACATTGGCTGGTTCTGCTTATTAAAAAGAGAAAAATAAAAGTCTCCATTCATTGTCACTGCATTTTGGTTGGAGGTTGCATTTTGACTGCATTTTGATTACTTTAGTCAA